AAGAACCTGTCCCAAAATAAAAAGGAATAGAGGAATGAAGATGTAGTTCAGTGCAAAGGCTCAAGGTTCAATTCCCAGTATCAGAGAAATAAAGAGACAGAGAAAACAAATGACCAAGTGAAATATCTGTCCCCACTGAGTTTACATATTGGTCAAATTTTGCATGTATTTATAGAAATCAGTTACACATGTATTTATACAAAATTCAGTTAAGTTTTCTAAAACTCGTCTTTTTAAAAAGGGCAATTCCCCAAAACATTAAAAGTTCTTTCTGAATTTGCTGCTGCTTAATTTCAGATAATCTTTTAAAGAATATGGTAAAATGAATGCAAGGAAACTTATAAACTTCTCATCTATTTTCTCTGTAGCTCTTACTAAATGTAGAGTACAGTAACTTTTCTTCAAATTTATTTTTCCCCAGAACCTTTCTTCTGTGCCTCGATACGATCCAAGAAGAAAAAAATCCTTCCTAGTATATTAAAGTGGATAGAACAGTATATTAAAAATAAGAATTAAAAAAAAAGAATTCAATAATAAAAAGTCAAAAACCCCCAGCCAATATCTACATGTTCATATTACAACTGTAAGACCACTTTTACAGGTGAGAAACTGAAGCACCAAGAAAACAATTTCCAATGAGCAAGAAGCCAGGCCATTTTGTAAATGTCAACTCAAATCGCATTAATACTTCAAAACACAGGATGAAATTTACTTTTAACCAAGGTAAGTTTCAAAGGGAAATATACAAAGCAAATTTATGGTTGGCTAAACTCGTTAATTTATGTCTTTCGGAATGTATTTCACTTTAGCAACTCAAGCAAACCTCCATAAGTTATTTCTTGTACAGTTTGTAAACCATTTCTTGCACAGCTTGATTACAAAATTGCCTTTCAGTATATTAGACACAAAGAAAAAAAGCCACAACCATTTCAACTTCTGTAAACTGCCGTGACTGTAAATTAAGGGAGCCCGGCAGGTTACTGAGGTATGGAAATTGCGTATTATAGGTACTATCTGACCACCAAAAGAGTGAACAGCATTCTTTTCTTGCCTTGTGGTCTTTCTAAACTACAACTTGGCACAAATTTCAAGCGTATTTTAAACACTGACACAGCTGAAAATAATAATAGCTAAATATTCCCAAAGAGGAAAAACTCAAAAATAAAAATTACTTATATATTTTACATACAAGGTTCACCTTTAAGTTTATATTACCTCTATAAAAATTCCAACGCTTAATATTTTTACTTACAAACTCCACTGCAGAATCGTTTATTCAATTACCAACAACTTTATAAACTTCTAATTTATGATTAAGGTATTTTGCAGGTAACAAGGGCTCAAATGAAAGTCAAGTAAGAAGTAACTGTCTACAAATAATTTTCTCAACTTCGATCTCAGCCAAAATTCAAGAAAGTTTTTCATAAAAACAAGGGGGAAAGGAAGATTATATATATTCAGTAAAAGTGAAGTCTGAATGACGCTTAAAGTCTCAGCTGTGAACGCCACCGTGAAGCAAAAGGTTAAAAAGGTTCCTACAGTCCCAGGACAAACACAAAAAATTATCACGTTTAACTCCTGTTTTTAACTCCTTGAGAATCTGACCCTGCTTAAGTCTATCAAGTGGAAAAAGGTGGCATTCCAAACACACTTGAGCAACAGGATCCCAACTTCCTGGTTCTAAAGGAATGCGATTTCCCATTGACCCATCCCTCCCCGGTCAGCCGCGCGGCCCCACGCCGGAGGGACCAAGGGGGCGAGGCTCAGAGCCGCACTGCGGGTCCCAGCTCTGGCCTGGTCTAGGGCGCTACCGGCCTGCGACCCCAGCGCATCCTCTTCGGGCTACACCCAACTGGCGGGGACAACTCGGGGGCCACTCTGGACCCGCCCGATTTTGCCACAGCCCTATAAACCCCTGCTGCGCCGGTCCAGTCCAACTGCGGCCCGCAGGTCCTCTCCGCCCCAGCCTGGCCTTACTCGGTCTGCTCAGGCCCTGCCTGACCCCAGCCCAAGTCCCGCTGCTCCTCACTGATCCTGGTGCTGCTCGGTCCGCCTCGACTCCGACCCAAACCGCAACCCCTGAGCGGTCGCAGCCCGGCCTCGGTCTTCGCTGGCCTGGCCCGGCCCGGCCCGGCCCAACCCTGCCAGCCGCGGGCCGTGTCCCTCCAGGAAGATGGCGGATCGGTGACAGGCGGGCGCGGGCGCGGGTCCGAGCTCGGGCCGGGGAAGGAAGCTGGGCCACCAGTGGCCAAAGAAGACCAGCTCACCTGTCAGCACCGCCCGCCCCGCCCGACCGGCCGCCCGCGGGCTCCTCGCCGCAGCCCCGGTGCCCGGCGACCGCGCAACACGCGGGGACGGCCGAGGAGGGAGACGGCAGGAAGAGGCGGCGCGGCCGGGCCGGGCCGGAGGCAGGTAAGAAGGGCGGACGTGGGCTGGTAGCGGCGGCGATGGATTCTTCCCTTTTCGGGCCGAAAATGTCTCAATCTCGAGACTCTGGTTCCCCAACGCTCCTTCCCGTTCGCATGAGAACACACAGCTCCACTTCCGGGGCCCAGCGGAAGTCCCGCCCCCCGCTAGTCCCCGCGCGCCCCCGCGCCATAACCCGGCGCACTTACCCGCTGGGCCAGCCGACTGGCGCTCGACACCCGGGAGAGACTCGCGTCAAGCCGGCGCTGCGCGGTGACTGGATGCGCACGGCATCTGGACCGCCCCTTTCCCTCCTGGCCTTTCCGAGCGCACCTCTCTTCCCGGCATCTGCGATTGGCGCGTGCGCGTGCGCGCACACCTCCTGCCCCGCCCCGCTGGGCGCACACCTCCTTTCCCTGCCCCACACCGCGAACGCCTCACCCTGGGATCGCGCGTGCCGTACGCCCCGCCCCACGGCGCCGAATACCCCGCCCACTCCATAGCCCCGCCTCGCCATCCGGTAGCTGCTAGCAGGCTGGGCGTAGTAAGGGAGTTCAAGATCTGAGTGATTTGATGGGCGTCCCGTCACTGAGGGCAACTCTCGCAGATAGCTGAGTCAGCACAGGCCGGCGATATCCTCGTGATGGCAACCTTTGCCCCTGCTCTGCTGCCCTGGAACCTCGCGCCACCCCCGCCTTTGCTCGGTGCCACTCGCGGGAGGGCGACCCTTCCTTACCAGCGCCCCGTCCCCCGCGAGACAGCTGTCCCGTCCACGCTGCCTCTGACTGTGACTCTTTCCCCTGATCTGCGCTCCAGACCTAGTCTCCTGCCCCGCCTGCCTACCCCAGGACAGCGAGCCCTGCTGAACCAGCGCCTCCCAGAGGGCAGCCGAAGCCCCTACCTCAGACCCTGAGCCTTTCGAGACTGATCTCGACCTCGCTCTCCGGTCCCCTCTGCCATCACACCTCCCTCAGTCTCGGAGTGGGGACCGTGGATCCAGGCCTGAGTTACACTGGGATTTGGGGGTTAGTGTTAGAGCAGTTGTGGGTGCTCTCAGCTGCTCCGCAAGCAAGATCCATAAAATTCTGTTTTAAGTGTGGATGGTGAAGACTCAGGAGTATCAAATTATTTTCCAACACTTTATCTCACCAATCCCCATCCATGATCAATTTGCTAGATAGAAAACAGAAGTTCTTTGAATTTTCTTTTAGCTTGCTGTCTAGTTTCCTACAGTCTACGTCTCATTTCGTATATATATGAAATACTACAAATTGTAATGTTTTTCCTCGTAATAAGTCATTTCTGAGTCTCTGTATCCACAATTATTGTGTACTTGTGCTGTTTGCTTGTTCCTATCATGATATTCAAATATCCACAATTCAGCGTTTTGGGGAGACCCTCATGGAATCCCATACATTCCTTCTCCTCTGTGATACCTTGTCTCATCCTAGCTTTAAGACATTGCAAATTAAGTACAGTAATTATATTCAAGCCATGTTTGTAATCATATGATTTGAGATTGCCTCTAATATTGTACAAAGCCTGTACAAAATTTCACGAAAAAGTATAGCATTAAAACTCTTATCATTCATAGTGCCAACAAAAGTCTCCTCCATATCTTTCCATTAAAGATCTTCACTGTTGTTTTACAATAGGATAAAGTCCAAGTTCTAGTTCAGAGAAAGAAAGCTATTCACAGCCTAATGCTATCTGTCTTTATCTTTCCTGAACTGTGGAGTTAAAACACTAACTTTGAATTCATATTTGTGTACTGAGCATTTTTTAAGACACTGAGTTGTTAGCTCTATAGGCTTTACATTCTGTACTGTAGGGTTTACTGAAAGGCAAATTAGTAGTTGATAGTGTGTGATAAGTCCTTTAAAATAAATTACATACGGCTGGAATGTAGAACAGTGATAAAGCACTTGCCCAACAGCCTTGAGGTCTGGGATTTGATCCCTAACATGGACCAAAACAAAACAAGACAAAACAAAAAAAAAAAAAAAAGGCAAGAGAAAGCTGGATTCCCGAGCACATTAGGGTGTGATTTTCCTTTCCCCAATTGTTCTTAGCCTACTACTGTTCCTTCTGGTCAAATTTTACATATTTTTCAAAGTACATCTTTATTATCAACCGTTTAGATCTTTTATTTTTGAATGATTGATTTCCTTCTGGGTCTTCTCTGCACTTTGTTCTATTAAAGCTTCATTATATCATAATTTTCAACTGACGTGACTGTCACTACCAAATGGTCATTTCCTCTGAGATGAAAGCAGCTCAGTGGTCTCTAACATGATGGGTGGCACGTTGTACTTAATAAATGAAAGTCTGTTGAATGAACCAAAGAATAAACTATGATGTGATATCCTTGTTAAAGTTTCAGCTATATCTAAGAACACTTTTTATTCTGCTTGCATTTTCGGTGAAAAATAAACTTTTTTCTCCATTGTATATATTATCATTCAAAATTACCTTAGATTAGCAAACTTATTTGTGTTTCAACCACACTGCCAAAAAATTTATTTTCAATGATTTAGAACTATTTATTTGCCCATTTTATTAAACAAATATTTATTAACTGCATACTTTTCTTTAGATATACTGCAAAGTTCCAGGGAGAGAAGAACAACACAGAAGAGACAGAAGTAGGTAAGCACTAAGGAATAAACAGGGAAAAGGTTATAAGGAGAAGTTCTGATCTGGTTTGGGAAGGAACCAGGAAGCGATAACTAGCCCAAGGCCAGTGACAAAACTAGCAGGGCTTCCCCAAGCCTTCCGTGCAGAAGAAACTCCAGTTGGGAAGTAAGCGTCAAGATTTTATTATGAGGCAAGGTGGGGCCTTTAGAAACTTTTGGTGTGGAGCATCTCCTGCCACAAAAGGGACCAGAATAGAAACATGATAAGGAACTGGCTCAGTCAAATTAGATGGAAGTATCAAAATGAAAATGACAATAATATATTAGAATGCTTTGAATTGAAAACATGCATGAATTTATGCAGAAATTAAGAAATGTAAATAAATGGGTAAGTAAAAAAAGTAATAGAAATGAGGTAGGACAAGGGGAAGCTCCTCTTCAGAGTAAGATGCAGCAAGTATGGTGGCACACACCTGTAATCCCAGCACTTAGAAGCTGAGGCAGGAGGGTCATGGAGAGTTCACGGCCAGCATAGGCTACATAGTGAGTTTGAGGCTAGCCTGTTTTACATGGCAAGACCCTGTCTCAGAAAGAAAAATGTAGAATGCTAATTTGTAAATTAAGGAATATATAAAGTATCTCTGTCAGAATTTATGCTGACAAGAATCACCAATGAAAACTAAAAATCATTGAAGTAAAATTATTGAGGAACAAATTATATCGAGCATTTAAAGGCTTATTGATTGCATGTTAATTTCCAAGGGACAAGAGCATTTTGCAGTAGGCAAATGTGGATCTCACATGCAAACAAAGCTAGTATTAATAATAATGGCCTCCAGACTGACTTTGTCGCTCCTATGTGACTACCTCAGTTATATGGTATTCCTGCCTGCCACGATGTGCAAATAAATCATGAGGGACTATAGGACAAACTCTAAATTGAGAGACATTCTACAAAACAATTGGCCTATACTCTTTAAAACTGTCAAGATCATAAAAGACAATAAATGATAGAGGACATTTTTCAAATTAAAGGAAACTAGAGATGAGACAATTCAATGTAATGTGTGTAATCCTGGTTTAGATCCTAGATCAGAATAAAAATTTGCTGTAATAGGAGCTGGGGATTTAGCTCAGCGGCATAAGCGCCTGCCTTGGAAGCAGGCAGTCGTGAGTCCGATCCCTGGTACCAATGAAAAGGAAAAAGACAAAAAAAAATTTGCTATAATGATCACTATTAGCATTTTAATATCAATTATGTATAAGTCTCATAACTAAGGTTAAATTTCTTGATTTGGATAATTGTGTTTTGACTATATAAAGAAATGTCCTTGACCTTAGGAGATTTATATTAAATAATTTAGGCATGAAGGGTCAAGATATCTGGAAGTTTTTCTCAAATAGTTTAGCAAAATATGCAAACAAATGTATGTGTGTGTAGAGATAAACTTTAATTAGTAAATCCAGGTATACAATATGTAAGTGGTTACAAATTCTCTGAAAATTTAAAATCTTCAAAATAGTTACTTTTTAGAGATACATACTGAAATACATGCTAACAAATATCATATTATGTATTATGTCTAGGATTTTCTCCAAAATAATCTAAAAAGAGGTCAGAAATAGTAAGACAAGCATGGTGGTGTACATCTCTAATTCCAGCACTTGGGAGGCTAAAGCAGGAGGATTGCTGACAAGTTTGAGGTCAGCCTGAGCTACATAGTAAGACCCTGTCTCAGACAGAGAGAGAGAGAGAGAGAGAGAGAGAGAGAGAGAGAGAGAGAGAGAGAGAGAGAACGAGCTGGTGTTTTGAAAGCTTCTGAAGTTGGGTATGATTAATATATGGGGGTTCATTAAATTCTTTTCCCTGCTTTTGCATATTGTGAATTCCCTCATTATAAATCAAAATATGGAAAGAAATGAAAGATTTTTATTCCATTTTAGATAGTTCATGAAAATGTGTTGCTGAAAATATAGTCAAAGAGAAGGACTAAATTTCTTAGGATATTCCGTACCTCCTTGCTGGAGGACAAAAGGCCATGGCACAACCTGTAGTCCTATATCCTAGAGAGCCCGGGATGGTTGGATGCGGCAGAGCTGAATGTACAAGTACCAAGCCAGGTTGAGGAATGTGGAGACAAGAACAGGAGGATGACACAGGGAAGGAAGAAGAAGGGGTGAAAGAACCTCATGCATGAGAGCCTACAGGAAACATTTAGAGTTTGCATGACATGAAATCTTAAAAAAAATTAAAATAAAAAAGGAGGAGAATCATATCTGGGAGTTTCTGACAAGATCAGGCACTTTCAGAGCAATATAGCTGTAGACAAAAAAAAGAGTTCTAAGAAACCTTTTTGTGGTATAGTAGCTGGAGCTAGCTCCTTTATGGAAACTTTAAGGGTAATACCATTCTGGTATAGAATAGGTGGTGTTGTAGCTTGTGTCATTTCTTGAAGACATATGCTGGGATACTTGATTTACATAGTACCTATCCATACAGTGCTTAGGTGTAAATGTGTCATCTAGGCCAGAGAAACAATTGCATTTTCACCTTTATTACATGCCTGATGATGGTTCTCATAAAGAAAAAAAGCAAGTTGATGTAACATGAGAGATATTTGTAAAAATTCCTCAATTTGGGATTGGATGTTTTGGGCAGAGAACCAGATTTCATAAGCATGCTGTGATTTTATTACACTGAGAAAGTATTAAGTACCTGGAGACCTGGAAAAGTGGAAACTTTTTAATCTAATATTTGTAGAAGCTCAACTAAAGAGAGGGAGAGAGAGAGAGAGAGAGAGAGAGAGAGAGAGAGAGAGAGAGAGAGAGAAGAATTCCTCTAATAGGAAAGAAGTTTGATATCTGGAGCTCAATCCTTGTTTCCATAGTTCTAAATGGCATGGTGACAGCTAACTCTCCCTCCTATTTCCTTGTTCCAGTTCACTCCCCAATTTGCACACCACTTCCTGTATCAAACTGGAACTTGACCTAGGGTCTCCTTTGGGCCTCTGGAATATCAGGAACAAGAAGTGGTGCCAGGTCTCTTTCCATTCACCCCCTCGGTGAGAAACACAGCTATACATGAGCAGTGTGTGGTTGTCCCTCTGAAGAGCCTCCTAAGAAATAGAACGCTATCCTTGGTTCAAGAAATGGACATGCCTACCCAGATGGAGTAGTCCCATAGGGATACCCATATGATCTACGAAGGAACTCCCACATGACAGCAGGTTCTATTTTTAAAAGTTTTCTTTTAGGACCTCTTGCCCCTTGGCCTGCTGGAGATCCTACAGCTCCTCAGCCAGGGCTGGAGGCCAATGTCAGCCCTGGAAGAACATCATCAGAGCTGCTATGAGTGAATAGTCTTGTTTTTCTACCTCAAACATGTGTGGGGGCTGTGCTATAGTAGGCACACCAAACCTGGAGCTGGTCCAAGGCCTTACACGGGGCCTCTGCCACCTTGAGTACTGCTCCTGGGCCTAGTTTGCCCCCAGTAGGATCCACCACAGAGTCCCACACAGGGGCACAGCAGGATGTGGTGAATAAGAGCCCAGCATGGGTGCCAGAGAAGAAAGAGTACCCCAGGCAAGGAAGCCAGCCTAACCCCCTGTGCACCAGCCCAAATGCAGGACCCACTTTAGAATCTGGTACCTGCTTCCGTCACATTTTCTGAATTTGATAGTGTTTTAGAAGAGTTCTACAGTTCTAAGAATACTTTTTCTTAAAAAGTTTCCAAGAGTTTGTTATTTTACTCTAAAACCAAAGCAATAAACTACTTCCTGTGGAAAAAATTTTTTTTCTTTGTTTATAGTTTAGTAGTGCTTTGGATAGAAGCTGGAGCCTTGCATATTCAGGTAAGCATTCTATAGCAGTAAGCTACATCACCAGCCTGGATTCCATTTGTAAGCATAATCAACAAACTACTTACTGGTTCTTCACATTTTCCCCTTCACAATTATAGAACTAGTGAGATCCTGGAGCACACTATACTGCTTCTGTTTCCTTTCCTGAGCTGGCTTCTTCCTTCTTGGTCAGCTTTCCACTCCTATTATGACTATCTTAGGCACTCAAATTTTCTGTAGGAAGTCATTCTGATCCACTTGGTCAGACTGCCTTCCTTTGTTCACTAACTGTGTTGTCTATAGACCAACCGCAGTTTATGTATTATTGCTTTTAATCACCTGTTTCATTATATACTCCTAAAGGTAAGAATTTTATTTTAGATTTTTTTCAAATACTGGAAATCGAATAGTGCCTTCACACTGAGGTGTATCCCCACACCTTTTAAAAATTTTGAGACAAGTTTTCACCAAATGACTAAATTGGCCAGGTTGAGCTCATCCTCCCAGAGTGCTCGATCAGAGACCACTACACCCATCTATTTCAGACTTTGTATCCTCATATCTCAGTGACTAGTGATCAGTTAATATTTACTAAACTATCATCACCTCAACTTTGTTAGCCTATCCTAAGTTTCTTCAAATTTTTAGTTACTTGTTTTTAACATTCACTCTAATGAATTCTGTAGACCTGGAATTCTTATCATTTCCTTCCTTGTTTTTTTTTTTCTTCATTTTTTTTCTTCATTTTCACAACACTAAAATTCTAGATATCATGTAATTAAACTGTATAAATTGGGGCTGGGGATTTAGCTCAGCGACATAAGTACCTGCCTTGCAAAGCAGGCGGTCATGAGTTCGATTCCCGGTACCAATAAAAATGAAAAACACACACACACACACACAAAAAAAAAAACTGTATAAATTATAATTTTTCAAACACCATTTGTATCACAATCATGTTTTCCTCTGAATATATTTTAGTCACTTTGATCAGATTTAGAAAAATAATTTGCTGAATCCAATTCTTGAAACACTCATCAGTAATAAACTGCCAGCCAGTGGAAGTCTAAACCACATTAAGTTTATTCTTACCTTCAATTTCAAAGAATAACATTTTCTGATCATCTCACAGTTCTGAGAGTATTACCTTTTTACAGTTTAAAATTCCCACATTATATAAGCTAATATGTATCACACAAATATGCATTTCAAAATTTTCATTTTATCAAATTTCTGAATCTCATTTTTTCCTACCTATAATTATTAGTTGTTGTAGTCAGGGCTTACAAGGGAAAGGATTTAATACAGGACACATAGTATATAGGATTATTTTATTATTCACCTAAAGAGTCAAATGCAAAAGAGTAGGAGATCTATCTACATGCTATAGACTCAAACAATCCAGCTGAGGGCCTGGATTCCAAGGCAATATTCTACATGAATCCAGCTGAAGACCTAGAGCTCATGGAAATACCCACCCAAATCCAACTGGAGACCTAGAACGCATGACAATATCTTATGCAAGTCTATATCAAGAATCTGTGCTGGGAAGGCCCAAAGGTCAGCGATGGGAGCTGGAAAGTCTATGCCAGGAGGCTGAGGGATCTGCATTGAAGCCAGTAAAGCAACGCTCAAGGTAAGGACCAGAGCTCCCCCAAAAAGAACTGTAGACATCCTCAGTGACAGGAAACTTCGAACTCTTGCTCCAACGAGAACGGCTGAATTCCTATCAGGAAAGCCAGCATAACAAACTTCTCCAGGAGAATCAACAGTGAATCATCTTCCCCAGTTTGCCTTTTATCCTGTTGGCAACAATCCTCAGGTGGGCTCTCCACACCCAGTACCATGCTAATTTGGTTCAGCTGGATATTACAAGTTAATCATTAACCGATCATACTAGTACATGATGATTACATTCATTGTGGGGCACTGGTACATGTACGTAACATGTCTCAGTTCTCTTTAATCTGCCTTCCCTCTCCCTGCACCCTGAATTTATCATTTTCTTCATAAGTATCTCCCTATATTTAAAAAATATTTTTGGTGGTAAGGTCTAATGTATTTCTCTGATACTCAAGCTCCACTGAAGTCATGCAGTTAGCAAATTATCCATAATTTTGCTCATAGGAAGATTGATTTAATATAGTTTTCATACTTTAAAAAAGAGTCATTATAAGAAGTCTATTTTACCTTATAGCCACACACACACACACACACATGCACACACACACACACACACACGCAGCTAAAGCAAATGATTGGTAAAATATTGGTGGTCACTCATCATGAGGGTACTTTATGTCTTTGAATTGTACTCTTAAAATGGTAAGGCCAATAAATTTTATATTATGTATATTTTACCATGATTTTAAAAGTTTCATAAAATAATATTCTATGCACTTTTTGGATATCTTCCATTTTGTTTTATCTTTGTTCATTCTGCTTACAATCACTTAAATCCATTGATGATTCACTAATAGAGCCTGGTGTTAGTAATGTACTCACATGAAGCATAAAATGATGAAGCTTATTCTCTTGAATTTCTTATTCTCACTGGATTCTTTCCTTCTCCAAAGAATTTGCAATGGCATAGTTAAAATATGTGAGCAAAACCAAGCTAGTAATTCCCTATACATGTGTGTATTACTATGTCTGACACTATATTTAGAAATTATGTTTTGCTTGTATGTTAGTAAACCATATTTCAATTTTCAGATCTCTCCTTTATTACTTTGAAATTTTTAAGTGTGTGATTAAGTTAATCAATATGGTTCTAGTTAGTGCTAGAAGTTGCAAACTCTGTCAGGACCAGTCAGTGAACACCCGTGTAGGTACAGTCAAGAGTGAGGTAATAGGAGTGATGAGATTATGGCTAAATAAGAAGTGCTTACCTAAATTTAAGGAATTCACCTTCAACTGAAAAACAAAACCCAAGCTGATTTATTGAGAAAGAGATTTACAGTCTTGAATTTTATATCTCAGTTACAGATAGATTTTCATGAAATTTGGCCATAAAGACCCTGAAGGATAAAGAGATAGAATAGTTAAAGAGTGAGTATGAAGTAAAAGAAATTATTATTAAAATAGAAAAGACCTGGATGTACAGAATGAGACTATGGGGAATATTATAGAAGAATACAAAGCCTTAATGACTTTGCATTCTGATCTGATTGTTTAACTTAATAATGTTAATATTGGTGATGTTATTTACAGTTTTACCAAATTATAAGATTCTACCAGCAATTAATAGTGATTTATATAACATAAATAGTTATAGTTGTAATTCAGTGATCATTTTGAGAATTATAAGATGGTTTTTATCTGTAATACTTCATATCCTTAAAAGTACACTGCAATGTAAGTCATCGCAATGGTATAAATAAGGAAAGTGAAACTCAGAGACCAAAATATCTACCCGAGATTCTGTTTCAAGTAAATCAAAAGTCAGGCTAGAACTCCAAATTCTGTTCATTTTGCACCACACCATTGTGTGTTCTGTGTTTGCTGCCATAAGATTGGATGTCCCATTATAATATGGGGATTACACATTTCACTCAGCGGAAAATTTTTGCTATGTACCTTGCTTAACATAGCAAAGTGGAAGACAAATAGCTTTCTATATAAAGAAGGAATCAGACTTAATATATTCTGTCAGAGAGTTCACTCGGACTGTAATCTCTTAGCTCAGAGAAGAATGACTTCAATTCCACTGGGAGTTATAAATGTATCTTGTGGGTTCAGCTCTGGTTATATAACCTTTGCTAAATGAACATGTGAGTTACTTGAAATCTAATAGAAATCAGAATTGCTTCAGTTTTGAGATTTTGATCCTATCACTGTATCCTAGTAAGCGTCCTTAAATTCAGGTGAATGTAACTCATCTTGATATATTCTCCACACACATCCCCCTCAGAAATAGTAAATTACACTAAGTTCCACTCTATTTTCCACTACTATGCTGTTTGTTAAAGTGTATACAACAAATTACTTATCTTTTGTAAATATTTAAAAGACAGACTATATATGAAAAGGGCTATATTCTCAAAGATATTACAGTGTTTGGGGGAGATGAGACATTTATGAACAAAAAATACATAATAATATGAAATAATCAGAAGAAAATTGTGTTACTTGGTAAAAAGAAAAAAATGAATATTCGCAGTAGGAGAAGAATTTAGCTAGTAGTGTTGGAACTTTCAACACTGGCAAGTTTCTCGTAGTTGAAAGAAAGAGGGAAAGTATTTGAAACAGGAAGAATAACAGGAGCTTGGCATTTACGGGGATAGAGAAAAAGCTGGGCTAGATGATTCAGAGGGGGCATTATGGGGGCAGAGGCAGAAAGAGGTGAAATGAAAGATGTAAGCCAGTCCTAGGCACCGGAAAGATCAACTGTATCCTGATGACATCTGGAAGAATCCTTCCAAAGAAACTGTTGGATTTAAGTAACAAGTAGAGATTGAGCTAAACACTACAGAGAAAGTATTGAACATTGGATTACAATCTTAATTTAGCAAAATTCTAGCTCAGGTGATACAGAAGGCTAGAGTGGGCCCAGAAAGGGGGTGCATTTCATCTACAGGTGAAGGGCACACAAAGCCCCGAGTTCCAGCCTTGTCAACAAGGAAGTCAGGATGTTTACTAAAAATGAGAATGGGCTAGCAGGTAGAGAAATGAGGTCTCTTTAAATTGTGAGAAACACACTTGGAAGTAAGTGAGTATCAAAGATGACATGTCCTCTTCACTGCCCAGTTACTCAAATGATCTTAGGGACGCAGCCTCTTTCTTCAATCACTTCAAAGTTGTCACATATTTCAGTTTTTTTGGGAATCTTTCTCTTTTCTTTGTCTAAGATAGCTCAACAAGCAGATTCTCAATTCCCCATGACCTTGTTATTCTTTTAAAGTAACTCAATGGGGCTGGAGATTTAGCTTAGTGGTGTAAGAACCTGCTTGGCAAGCGTAAGGTCATGAGTTTGATCCCTGGTACCAAAAAATAAAATAATTAACTCAATGCCTGTTGGCATCCTAGCAGTTTGGTATTTCTTGATATGTTTGTACACCAAAACAACAGTGTGTCTGTTATATTGTGATTTCAAGACACAAATTATTTGAATTCTGAATTAGGTATGTCTATTCTATACCTAGATAAGTATGGGCTGATTAAAATGTTGAGGTGGACAAATGTGCCCTTATTTAAAAGGCATTTGTAGGACGTCTTCTCTCTGTTTAAAATTCTTCCTGGTGTCAGTTTTTTGCTTTTGTCTATATTCCTTATTTTGAATATAGCATTTGAGTACATTTCCATGTTTGCTAGTCATTTCTACTTTTTCCAAACCTGTTCATACCCAGATTTACTGTATTATAAGTCCCTGATGGAGTTTGCTTAGAAATGAGGGAGGGGGAATAATCACATTCAGGAAAATAGGAAGACAATAGTAGAGAACATAGGGAGATAAAGGTAGAGAAGGAGAAAAATATCCCAGATTGCTATACCTTTCTAGGATTTTTAACTCATTCTATTTAATTATTTATCTGTTTGAGACAGTCTCACTAAGTAGTTTAGGCTATGCTTTGAACTCACTTTGTAGTCCAATTCAGCCGCAAGTTCACAGCCAGTCTCCTGTCTCAGCCCCCCAAGAACTAGGATTACAGGCATGCTCCACCACACTTGGCTCTTTTTTTTTTTTTTTTTTTTAGAAATAGATTCCACGTGCTTTTCTCTCCTTGACCAAATCCACTTCCCTATGGCCTCATTCTCCTAGAATAATTTATCATAACAAGGACTTTCATTTCTAGACATTCTCTTTGCACAGACTCCAGCCAGAAAGTCAAAAAGACCTGTGTCCTGAAATTTGTTTCTTTCTCAGGTAGAAGAGACCCTGTAACATGTAGAAAATGATGATGTATCTTACATGAAGTGAAATATACTGATATACCACTTTCATATGAGGAATATTACTAATATTGTTTGAATTGGGAACTCTATATAGAAAGATCATGATAAATATGGGAAGTTCCAATAATTTTAATATTTAGGAACATTCTTAGAACCCTACCCCTTATCTTGGATCACTACTATGAGGAAAGCCAGCTGATATAGCATAGGGACACCCACCAGCCAGCCCAGAGGAGAGGTGAGGAACTGAGACTTCCTGCCACAGCTGAAGGCCTTGTCAGAACAGGATGCTAGCTTCACCTGAGCACTCTGATGTCCACACACCAAGCTGACTTTTAGCCTAGAGACTCAGGAGGTGTCCAAAGTCAAGAACACCCAGCTAAGCTGCTCTCAAATTCCTGACTCCATTTGAAGTGGTAAGCTGGACCTCAGCTGTGTATATTATTCTGAGGTTTGGGCTCAAGTAGTCTCATTTTCCTTTAATCTAACTATGAAATGCATGTTGGTGCTTTTTCCCAAGACAGCAAACGTTTTGAACATACACTTATGCAAAGGTGAATCAGGGATCAGTTTTTGGCCTTAATTCTGAATAAGTACAATTCCTGTTGAATCTTTTCTTAATATATATGTAATGAGATGACATTGGTTGGGCTATGATCAACATTAAAAAGAAGAAAGTAGGCAGTGAAGGGTTGATGCATGAGATTCTGGGGAAACACCAATTAAATAATAAATACATGTTTTCATAGCCTCCTGGTTGGCATTCAGGTAAGCTCCATGAAACATGTTCCATACATCCTTGGGAGAAGTGGATGGTGTGAGGTACTAATGAGGGGTTGATTGGCATTCCTGGTAAGGGCGCATCCTTATTAAATGGGAGAGAGGAACGATGGCACTGAGGGTGGAAAACTATATGTGCCTGACTTTGAGATCTCAGAAAAGAACTTGTTAATAGCAAGAACCCCCAAATGGATTTACTGATGTATAATTCTTGTATAACAGAATGACAAAGCAAAGAGACATCACGAGTTTTAATTATAAAGATTGCTTGGAAGTCTATTCACAATCACCAGCCTGAGGTTATGAAACTTAGAAAAGCTGTATAGAGGGGCATGGCTCTTACAACCAGTAGATTTAGATTTCAGTCTCAGTTCTCATGCCTGCTCATCCCTTGCAACTCACCACCCTAAAATCTGTTTCTTCATCTACACAGATAAACAACATGCTGCTGTGAGAGGTGAAGAAACTTCAATGTACAAGTGCTCAATAGATATTAATGAGGTAAATGCATTTCCTTTCTTGCCAACATTCATTCTGATTTTAGTTCTTGCTCTGGATGCTTATTCTTTAACATACTCTATTTGGCTTTTATTTTTTCTGTTTGCTTATTTATTTACTTAGAGACAGTCTTGTTATGTAGTTCAGGCTGGACTTGAAGTCTCTAGTTCAGGCGGTCCTCAGACTTCTGGTGATCCTACTGCAGGCTGGGATTACATATATGTGACACTCACTTTTATTTAGGTAAGGACCTACCCTGCCCTTGAACTTTTTGCCTTGCTGGCTGCAGCTGAATCTTGTACTTATTTCTTATCTTGAAAATCTTATCCCCAGTTTCCAGTTTCTATTTCTAGTGTTTTTCCTCAATTTGTAATTAAAGTCAGTCCATAAGAAATTTGAAGGTTAATTTGCTGACACTTTGAATCTTTAGGTGAACATTAGAATCCAAGTTGTTTGTAAAATCAGCAACCAATAAATTGCTGATAGTTTTTAATAAAACTTTGAATTCAATAAATATTTGTTGATCCTTATATTTATGGATTTTAAATGTTTCCAATTTTTCATTCATTTAAAATACAAGGTAGCATGTGTTACAGCTTGTTTATAATTCATCTTTTATGAAGTTAGTTTTTTAATGTAATTCAGAGACAGTTTAGCATTACTTTCTGTTATGGACTGAATGTATTCCTTTAAAATTCATATGCCGATGTCCTAATCTGCTGTATTGGCTCTCTATTATTCTAACAAATACCCTGAGCTAATTTACAAAGAGAAGGTTTATTTTGACTTACTGTCTGCAAATTTTCAGTTCATGAACACTTGACCTTGATCTCGTTGCTTTGGGCCTCTGTTGACGTAGTGCGTTATGATTCTGGGAGTGAGTTATATAGCAGATTCTTCTTATGGCAAAGATGGGGTGGGGGAAGAGAGAGAGAAGGAGAGGAGGAAGAAGAGGAGGAGAAAGAGAAGACCCACATCTTGCAGTTCCCTTGGAGGGCATGCCCCCAGTGACCTAAGACTTCCTGCTAGGCTCTACCTTTCTTTTTTTTTTTAACTTCAATTTAAAGAGAAGAAGAGCTAAAATAAAAGTAAAATAAACAGAGTTTCAAATCATGCTATTAGGAGAGTAATAGTAATTAAAACATTGTATATTGTTCTCTTCATAGTAGTTACTCAAAGTACAAGTAGGCACTATATTTTTCTTAGGACCTTTATATCATCTGGAATGGAAATTAACTTCACATCAGGAAAATTCACTTTTTTTTAGTACTGGGAATCAAGCTCAGGACTTTACATCTGCCAGGGAAGTGCTTATGCTGTGGAACTATACCCCCGACCCAGAAAACTCACTTATGAAAGAATGAAAAATCTCTTTATGGAGGTTATCAGCTTCCTGGTATTTCTCCAAATTCATCTGTTCTTGGCCAACACCACATCATAGAGTACTGAAAAACAACTAGTAAAAATAAAAATGACTTTTTAAGTTGTGACATTATTTCTGGGAATTTCTGGAGAGATCTTTACATTTCTTCTTATGGTAACACATTCCATGGATTGCATTTTATGTCAGCTCTTGATTGCAAATGTTTTAAAGCATGAAAATATACAGTTTTAAGTTAAATTAGAGAATTTTTTAGAAGTAAATATACGTTTGTGGGAAATATGTAAGAAGTTACATTAGTCAAATTTCTCCAGAACACGAAACCAGTTGGATATTATGTCCCTTTTCCATTGTTAGGAAAACCCTTGAAACTTAAGAGAGGTTTATTTTGACTCACAGTCTCAGAGATTTTAGTCCATGGTCATTTGGCTGCTCAACTGGGAAGCAGAAAGGGAAAGAAGGAGCCAAGGACAAGAATACATCTTTCTGCGTCATGCTCCCTGTGAGTCACCCCTTCAGACCAGGCTCTACCACTTCATAACATGTTCAGGTATAAACTCATCAATTGACTAATCCATTGGTATGTATATTTATAGCCCAAATGATCCATTCACTTTCCAGTGCCCTACCACTGAAATTATGAAACTTTTGGAGGATATTTTAGATGTAAACCATAGCAGATGTATACATAAATATATCAGAGGGAGTTTACTGGGGAGTCAGTTCACACTGATACAGTGCTGTGACAGGTTGACTACAAATTAAAGACCCTGGAATGCTTCTCAGTTAAGGTCTAAAAGCCCGAGAGCCCAGAGATAAGACTGCTAGAGTGTGGTGTGAGTCCGGGAGTCCCAAGGCAAGAGTCTAAAATTCTAATATCTGCAGCAAGCGACAAGTGTGTCTCAGCTCTTGGGATGGGGGAAGCAGGAAACAGGTCAATTCACCCTGCGTATTTGTTTTCTTTGATTCCCCTGCCGGCCTGGATGGTGCCCACTATTGATGGTTCTTTCCCACCTAATTCATCACCCAAACTCACCTGTTAACTTCCTCTAGAAATGCCCTCCCAATAATGCTTTCTAGTACTCCTTAATCCAGATTTCTAGTACTCCTTAATCTAGTCAAGTTGATAGCTAAAGTTAGGTGACCTTTAAGTCACCTTTAAAGTGTGACTTCTAATTCAGAGTGATGACGTGATGTGAAACAGTATAATAGCATCTATTCCTTTTAGGAAACTTAACTTCTCTAGAACTTACTCTCCATTTGTTGAATCAAAGGACTGAATTAGAAACCTAACTTTTTTTTTTTTTTTTGTCTTTTTCCTTTTTATCGGTACTAGGGATCAAACTCATGACTGCCTGCTTGCAAGGCAGGCACTTATGCTGCTGAGCTAGATCCCCAGCCCCAGAAACCTAACTTTTTAAAAACTCAAAAAATTTTTAAAAAGCTGCGTGTGTTGGTGCATGCCTATAATCCTAGCACTCTGGAGGCTGAGGAGGAGGATTGGTGTGAGTTTGAAGCCAGCCTGGGCTACATAGTGAGTTCAAGGCCATCCTGAACTGCTTAGTGAGACCCTGTCTCAAAAAGACAAAACAAGTAAAACAAAAGCAAAAAAATACAAAAAACTCAAAACTTCCGATGACGCTCACTTATGTCTGAGACAACTGGAAATGGAAGCTACAATAACACTGAGTCTGAAACACTTCTCTACTGAGCTCTAGAAATAAACCTACTTTCAACTGAAAAGGAAGTAAGGTTCAAAGTTTCATAATTGAAACCAGTATGCCTTGCCAATTCCTACCGACAAACAGATAAAAGTTTTGTTCTGCTTCTCTTGGGCATGGAAACAATTTGGTATAGTTACACTAGAGATACAGTGAACAAGATTTCTTGCTTCTCCAATAGCAAGTCAGGCAATGAGTGACACACATCTAAAAGAAGGTATCACCTGGTGAGGGTGCATGGGGCAACACAAAACACTCTCTGTCCCTGGCAGGTAAGAGTTAGGAAGTCTCAGATTACCTCATTTGACTGATAAATAGTGACATCTTCTTTAAATATAAAAAAATTCTTGAAATCACAAAGTCCATTTTTTTAAAATAAAGCAAGCAGAAGTGGCTTAAAGCATGCAAGGATGAATTTGGTGGCAGTGAGGTTATAGACTGAGGACCTGCATACAGCAGTCTAGGCTGCATAGGAAGTAACACCCTGAGACTTCGGTCTTGGTGCTCTTGAACTGGGCCAACCAGCACATGGTACTTCTGTAGCTTTTCACTCCTGAATATACTATGTGTACTCCTACCTCTAAAGGTGAAGAATCAGACCTTAATCTTTCATTTTGAGATAATTTTAACTCAGATGTATATATAGGGAATAATACAGGTATTCTGTGTGCCCTTCACCCAGATTCTGCCAGTGCTAGCATGTTGGACACTGAAATACATCATGCCAGGATCTTGACACTGCCCTGGCTAAGATCCCAAATACCTGTTGGGTTCCTCCTGCTGTCTACCTCCTACCCACGTCTCCTCCTTAATTCTAACACCAATTTTAGTCTCCGCTTCTATAATTTTGTTGCTTTCAGAATGTACTACAAATAAAATTTTTTAGGGCATCTAACTTTTTGGCATTGGCTTCTTTCGTGTAGCATAATTCTCTGTAAATTAATTCATACTGTGGCATGTACAAGGTGTGATAAGAAATGCAATTAATGTTTAAATCCTTTTTTAAAAATTATTACAGTGAAAGACACATTGCCATTAATCCTCCTCAAAATATTCTCTCTTCATATGCACTCATCCTATGAATTGTTTTCGTCACTTTGTGGAGCAGTTCTAGAAGTCCTCTTTCATCAGTGGTTTTTGTTCCATGACTGCCTCAATGTCTGTGATTGATTCAAAATGTTAGCTTTTTGTGGTCATCTTGACTTTGGGGAAGAGCCAGAAGTTTCATGGTGTCAGATCCAATGAATAAGGACACGCCATAGTGCTTTTATGAACCTATCTTTCTGTTGGATGACAAAAGCATTCACCGGGGCTGGGGATTTAGCTCAGCGGCATAAGCGCCTGCCTTGCAAGCAGGCAGTCGTGAGTTTGATCCCTGGTACAGATAAAAACGAAAAAGACAAAAAAAAAAAAAAAAAAAAAAAGCATTCACCCATATTTTTTATTGCTCTTTGTAAAAACTTGAAGAGGCAATGTATCTTTTACTGTAAGATTTTTTTTTAATTTAAGCATTAACTACACATTCAACCATATCTCATATATCAGTTATTTCCCCTTTTATTGCAAATTAGTATTATATAATATGGATTTATTTTTTACTTGATTAATCATTCACTTGTTGAAGTACAGTTGGGAATTTCTAGTTTGGAGTTATCAATAAAATGTGGACAACTGTGTTACAGGTGTTTGAGTGATTGCGTCTTCATTTCCCTGGGATAAATACCCATGAGTGCCCAGAAGTGGGTTGTGTGTTAGTTGTATGTTAAAACTGGCAAACTTTTCCAGAGTGGCTTTATCATTTTGTGGTCCCACTAGAAATATGTCAGTGAATTTGTTTATCTCTACTCTCAGCCATGGAGATGTCAGTGTTATTTTAATCACCCTGACAGGTATGCAGTGAT